CCACCTCTGTCTTCTATCCCCTTGGGTCAAAGGTCATAATGTTCAGGACTCCTTCGACCGACTTGCGCCGGCCCGTGCCTTGCTTTACCTTGGACTTCTGTTAGAACTGCTCGGGTCTTGATAGATTGAGTGGGGAAGTCCATGAGATTCTCAGGTGACCCTGAACAGACTGCCAAACATATAATAACCACCTGCCCTTTATATAGACCACCCTCGGAAAGCCAGCCTCTTCGACGTAGGACCAGAGATGCGGGCATGGCTACACAACACCGAGTTGGACCTCTGACGTTACACGAAAGAAGAAGAGAAGACATTGCATTAAAGAGCCAGCTAGTGCTAACCTTTTGTACTGATGATTCAACCATAATGACTTTTAAATTAATCTGAACCCGATATTGTCTATTCAGAAAATGAATGGGGCACTGGACACAGAAACTAACATCTGCCGCTTTGCATTTAATTTGTTATAAGAGGACACTTAGAGGAGATTGGAATCTGTTTAAATGTTAAAGTCTTTTAACATTTTGTCTTATCTCAATACAAATCTACACCCTGTTGTGCTGTGGCAGTGAGTTTTGTTGTGGTGGTCCCATTCATATCTTTCCATGTGTGGATAAGAGTAGCGGTATAATCAGCAGACAGGAGTCATCACTGTGGGGAGAGCTAGAGGGCAGCAATCTCCTCTCTGCTACCTCCCCTCTCAGACACAGTGGTTGACACTCTGTCACTGCCTGATAAAACAATTCGACTCACACATAGCTGCCTGCACATGCTGTATGGGCTGGAGTTAACACACATTGCTGAATAGATGCAGGCTCAAACACACTGACTGGCAGGTGCGCACCGTCACACAGGGACCAGGCATGCAGCCACCGGCACTTCTGATGTCTTTTTGTCCTTCATATTTTGGCTTTAGTGCAATAAGAATACTCTAGTGAGTCCCTTTGCCTGAGCAACATTTTCTAAAGGATAATTGCACAATATAATCACACGTCATTCTTTTCAACAAATGTAAAAATTCTTCCACACTAAACATCTCTGTAACAAATTAAATTCCAATTTGTCTTTATGAAAAACCAAGATTCTTTTTAAATTACAATAATCCAGGTTGTCTACTTGTCATGCATGGAAAGTTGATTTTCTCGGTTTATCCCCAAAGGATTCTTTTTTTTTTCAACTGTAAACTGGATAATAGAGAAGAGCACTTTGTGTCATTAAACGTCTGCTATCAACTGATAAGAACAGATATCTACACGGCATTGATTTAAAGGCAGTCTGGTGTGCCATTTCTCTCCAATACCACACAATGATGCCAAGGTCAAAGCAGGTAATAATAATAATTATGCATTTTATTTATATAGCGCTTTTCACAACTCAAAGATGCTTTAAAATATGAGGGAGGGTAGACAAACAAGGACAGGCAAACAAGAAAGTATAGTAAAATAAAAAGGCAGTCAAGAGGAAGTTGATTGAGAGGTGGGGGCCTTATGGGTAGACAGAGTTGAAAAGATGTGTTTTGAGGCGGGACTGAAAGACTGTGAGGGACTCAGAGTCACGGAGATCTTGGGGGAGGGAATTCCAGAGCCTAGGAGCTGCCACTGAGAAGGCTCTGTCCCCAAAGCTGCAGAGTGTGGATGTGGGAATGGATAGAGGTAGGTAGAGGTCATACACCATTTGGTTGCCATTTGATTCCTGGTTTCTACCAGAGAAATACATTTTCTTGTACAGAGATTATAGGTTGTACATATCAGAGTCGTACATCTTCCAGCTCTGTAAAGTGTCCTTTCATCTCTCTTAATGTGGCTTGGTGAGAGTAACATTTGGAAAATGACCACAAGCAACAATTTGTCAAGCTGTGCTGGCTGGTGTGCTCAATTCACTTTCTTCTCCTCCACGATTGCAGAATTACAGTTGAGTGTTCGCTGACCTAATGCAATAGAGGCTCCATATGGACCCAGTAATATGATTTCCGAGGCTTTTATTCTGTGTCTGCGGCTGGATAGAGAGGAGCTCTGAAGAGATGGCATCTGAATTGGGGACGGCTGCCTGAGAGAGGTTGCCATTGAGCGAGAGAGGAGGGGACTTAATGTATGTGATGAGGAGGGCAGCGAGTGGCAGCCCTGATGTGCAGTATAGGGGGGGAAAAGGACACATTAGGGTCAAGGGATTATAATCAGGCTTGCAGTGAATCCTTAGTGAACCTCTGCTGTTGAGTATGGTAGTATATTGACCTATTGTCTTCTCTGTAGGTCACCTCGGGTTAGAGATGTAATGGTGGGCCTATCCAATGTGCTAACCAGCAATGCTGACCTTGACATGGTGGCTGTTCGTAAATCTGTCTCTTCATTAAAATGGTCCCACGGGGGTCGAAATGAAACATATACTGCATACAGTCAATATAGTAGCAATCATAACAATAAGTGGAGCTCATACTGCCACAGTAAACACTAATGCTATGAATGCTTGCCCCTTAGAATATTAGATTATTTGAATTTTTAAAAAGGACGAAGACAAATAATATTAGCCCGACTGTATATTTGTCCTGTTTTCTGTAAGTTATCAGTCACATGGTATACAGGGCATGGTCATGCACGCCACATTGATTTTAAGCTTCATTAACCTATGTTTTACGAAATTGTAAGCCCTTAATAAACGAATGTATTTGATAAGCATGGGTATGTCCAGGCTATGTCGCTTTTCATTTGTCTTGGGTGGTCAATAATTGCTTAATGAAGCATTACAATTAAATTACATTTTAGCATGATAATTAGATTGAGACGAAATTGAGGTCACCGATTATTTCCTACTTCAATATTTTAGAATGTAACCCAAAGATCTGGATAGTTTTTTGGTTTATATCAAGTATTAGAGATTCGTATTTCAAATGAATACTGCAGAATATTTTGCAGCTTTTTGACAGATATATATATCTATTTGAAGTACAAGTGCATCCACTCTCATTTTCATTTTGTGTTATTTGTGGCATAAGATCTACAGACTTGTTGTTTCTTTCCTCAATGACTGATCGAGTGCCTTTTTATAGGTTGGACCAAGGTTAGGAACATCATCTGACTGTGCCAGAGCCGGATCAAAACAAATATAGCAACAAGCGTAGATGAAAAGAAGGTGTGGCTATCGAGCTTGTAGATTAAACGGACAAAAAAAGCTCTATAATGACACCATGTCATCCATTGAAGGTGTGAACCATTCTCCACCAGAGTGTTTATCATGGTCAAGTAGTGAGTCTTTTCTAATCTTGAGGCTCATTGATTCTATGAAGTACTCACACAGCTGCAGTTTTGGCTGAAAATGACTTCAAGATAATGGATACATCCGTCTCAGTGATAAGTGAGTGCCAAGTAAAATACCCCCTTCCAAGCAGAAAATGAAAACTTGAAACCGATGTTGGACTAAATAATCGTGTTAACAAAATGGCAGTTCAGTCGGAACAATCGGTTGTCCTTCAAAGGCCTTTTTTGACACCTCAGGATAAAAACAAATTGTGACCTCAAAGTCTAGTTAGTGTAAATAGTATTGGTCTTTGAGAGGTAATTTTAGAAGGTAATCAATACAAATGATTTTTGTCAGTAGCACTGATTGAGTCTGGAAAAGTACTTATATTTGAGCAGTGGTCTAAATTATGTATTCAGGACTGGAACAGAGCGGGGTAGTATTGTATCACTGTTAGTTTGCTAACAGAAATAAATCGATTTCTGTATTGATACAACTCCTGTAAAGTTATATAGAGTACATATATATATGGTATGTTTGTAAAATGTATCCTTTCGCTCAATGTTTCATCTTTCAGGATGTTTTTCTCTCCCCCGTCTGCTTATCTGTTGTTGGCTGTGATCCCATCTCCACTCTCAATCACAGACATGCCCTCGAGGTAGCGTGACATCCACACTGCCTGTTTACAGCAGGGTCATAAAGAACCTTGCCTGCATCCATATTCCCATATCAGCCCTCTCTGTTGTGCTACAAACCACACTCGGTGGCTGCCGGGGAAGCATCTGATTGACGTTGTGTTATCGCTCTGGTAGCCAACAGCCCTGTGCTCTCAGGATCTAAAGGGCTCTTCAATGTTCTACTCTACCTGAGACGGCAAAGGCCTAATAAGCTTGTTACTGAGATATACCGTGGAGTACAGTGTGCATATACATTTGTATGTATATGTGCTTTAATGCATGCATGTGAATGTACTTTACAGTATATATCCTGATCTTAAAAGAATGTAAACCTTGACCCAGGGATTGAAATGAAGTGAGCTGCCAGGCTAGCTGAGCGTAGCTTCATATGCTAATTCATAATGTATCTTTGCATATAGATATGGTATTAGAGTCTAAATGTAATATGCTGACAGCTCTTTTAGTTTTTCTTTCTTGTAGATTATCAATACTGAAATTATTTTTGCAACTAGGGCTGCTCAATTAATTGTATTTTTATCGCAATTACGATTTTGGCTTGCAACGGTTATGAAAACAACATAATCTAAATAAAACAATTATTTTTTAAATTATTTTTTGTATTGGTTTTTCAGTTGATTTATACTTAAAGTTCAGGGTAATCAACTGTTCAAAACATACT